TTCCGTCTTGGTGGGAGGCTGAGTTTGTTTCCATCTCATTGGGATCAATGCCTTGGCCGCATTGAGTAGGTGTCGTAGTATCGATTTTTTGTATTGGCTTATTGAGGTTTCAGTGTAGTGTAGAAGCGCCATTTCTATGGTGAGGTCGGGTATGTCCCCCAATATTGATGCTATTTCCCTTTTTATTTCAGTCCAGAATGGTTTGATTTTGGCGCAATCCCACCAGAGATGGCGGAGGGTGCCTGTTTCGTTTTCGCATCTCCAGCACGTCTCTGGGACTCCCGGGAATATTCTATGCAGTAGTGCAGGCGTCCTGTACCAGTGGGATATCAGTTTGTAGTTTACTTCTTGATACCTGGTGCTAATTGAGCTTTTGTGTTGGAGGATGAGTATTTGTCCCCATTGGGCTTCCGAGTAGGTTCTGTCGGTGAGGTCTTCCCATTGTCTTTGGAAGGCATTCCTTGTATGGTCCTCTGTGATCAGTTGCTGGTATATGCTGGATACTTTGCCTTGTACATCTGCATCAGTAGTGCAAAGATGTTCGAACCACGTCGTGTCCCTGTGTACTGCCTCTCTATTGGGTAGGTTATGGAAGAAGTGTCTTAGTTGTGCATAGTGGTATCTATGCATCATCGTGTGTTGTTCTGTGGTTGACCATTCTCGTAAAGTTCTCAGTCCTGCGTTATTCAGTGCTCCTTTCAGGGGGATGAAGTTTCCCTCAGATGTTATGGGCCATGCAGTTGTCTGCAGTCCACCTCCTATCGCTTTGTTGTGTGTCAGTGGGATTAAAGGGCTTGGTTGGGGCGATAAGTGTTGTTTCTTCCTTAGATTTGTCCAAGTTTTCAGCGTCTGTATAATGGTGGATTCATTACCCAGGTGTTGTTTAGCGTCTGTCGGGCCTTGCCATATGTACGTGTATAGGGTCTTGTTCGTACTCTCCCTGTCTAGGGCCACCCATAGTTTGGTCGCTGTTGCCGCGTGCCATTCCCAGATTCGTTGGAGTACAGTTGCGTAATAGTATTTTCGTAGGTCCGGCAGAGCCAGCCCGCCCCACATTTTTGGGAGGCTTAGCTTGTCATGGCGTAGGCGTGCTCTCTCTCCTTTCCATACATATTTTATTACTGCTGTTTTAAGTGTTGTGAAGAAATCTGGTGGTATGTGCCAGGGAATGGTGCTGAAGTGGTATAATAGCCGCGGCAGGATGTTCATTTTAATTACCGCTATGCGGCCCTGCCAGGAGATATAGTCATAATTCCAGTTCCTGAGGTCAGTCAGGATTGTGTGGAGGAGGGGGGTATAGTTCCTACAATATAATTCCTTTGGGTTACTAGGTATCCAGATTCCTAGGTAGCGCATTTGCTCTGTACACCAGTGGAAAGGGTATCTGCGTCGGATTTCTTCCCGCACGGCCATTGGCGAAGCAATGTTTAAAATTTCACATTTTGACAGGTTTAATTTTAGTCCCGATATCCGTCCGTATGTCTCAAATTCTTCCATCAAGGCTGGGAGCGTGTGTAGTGGGTTGGCTATAAAAAAGAGCATATCGTCTGCGTATGCAGCTACCTTGTGTTCTTGTTTTTATGTTTGAATCCTTGGATTTCTGGTGTTTGTCGTACTTTAGCCAGGAACGGTTCCAGGGTTAGGGCGAATAGGAGTGGCGACAGCGGGCAGCCTTGTCTGGTGCCATTGTGTATTTGGAGGCTGTCTGTGAGTGCTCCATTTATCCGTATTCTGGCGCTTGGGGCGGAGTAAAGTGCCTCTATCCAGGCGAGCATGTCTTTTCCTAATCCCATTTTGTCCAGGGTCGCCATCATGAAACTCCACGTCACCCGATCAAACGCTTTTTCAGCATCCGTGGAGAGCATTAAGAGGTTCGTTTTTGCTTTGAGCGCTAGGCTTTGGATGGCGAACGCGGAATTGAACATTTTAGTCATATGGGGAATTAAAATTTCTGGAAAAGATTTATAATATAAAATAGTGAATCCATCGGGGCCAGGGGCTTTTCCAGATGGCATAAGTTTGATTGCCTCAGCTATCTCTACTGCTGATATTTCACATTCTAAGCTTTTTAAATGTCCTGGAGACAGCCGAGGCAATGAAACTCTGTCTAAGAATTTATCAATTATTGTCGCAGAAGGCTGGGGAAGGTCTAAATTACATTCTAAATTATTAAGTTTACTATAATACTCTGCAAACATATCACTAATTTTAGTTGGATGAAACACTTTTCGCCCCTGATCATCACGTAAATATGCTATTTTTGATTGGGCATTCACATGCCGGAGTTTGGATGCCAAAAGAGTTGAGGCCCTGTTGCCTTTTAAGTAAAATGTTTTCCTGAGACGTCTCACCATGAGAGATATACGATCTAAATTAATTTTGTTAATTTTAGCCTTAATTTCTCCTATCATTGCTGATAGGGAGGACGATGGACCAAATTTATTAGCTTGGTTCAAATTGTATAATTATTTTTCCAATGTTCTTAAATCATTGCTATTAATTCTCTTCAGGTGAGACGCTCTAGAAATAAAATGACCTCTTAACACAGCCTTATGCGCATTCCAAGTCACCTCGTCAGGAACCTCGGGCGAGACATTTTCAGAAAAATAATAACTCAAAGCCTTCTCCGTCAATGACCTGTTCACAACATCATTTAACAAATAATCGCCTAATTTCCAGGTTCTGTTTGGGGCTGATGAAACAATTTTGTCAATATGCATTATGATTGGAGCATAGTCGGACCAGTTGATGTTTAAGATATCAGATTTCAAAATGTGCGGGATTAAAGCACCCTGGACCATAAACCGGTCCAGCCTGGAATACATATTTTTAGAGCCAGAATAATATGTAAAGTCTCTTTCATTCTTATGCATCAGTCTCCAGGGGTCGTATAAGCCACATTCAATCATATATCTGGAGCATTTATATGCTAATCTGTCACTGTCCCCTCTATGCTGCTGATCATGTTCTTCCCTAGCGTTATCTAATTCTCCATCCATGCCAAAATTCGTGTTGCCACACATTACCAAGCTGCCTCTCATATTCTCATTCACTAAGTCCATCAATTTCCTAAAAAACTGCAACTGGCCGGTGTTTGGAAAATACATGTTCACAATAGTATATTCAATAGTATTGAGTGATCCTATCCATATTAAATACCTCCCGTCATCATCCATTATTACTTTGTTTGTCAAACATGCTACATTCCAGTGAAAGAAAATCGATGTACCTCTAGACTTGGATTTATAAGTGCAATGGTATTCGACTGGGAAAAGCTTTGACATAATCTTATGGTCTTTATCATATTTAAAATGCGTTTGCTGTACATAGATTACATCTGATTTGTTGGATTTTGCTTCTTTGAATAATAATTGTCTCTTGTGGGCGGTGTTCAGGCCTCTCACATTAAATGACATATATTTTAAAACCATGGTTTATGGAACAGTAATACCTGGTAAAGGGTAAAAGAACATTCAATTTTGTGAGAGTCCAAGCAACCGCATTCCAAGAGAGAAACATGCAGGTCCAACAATACTGTCAAAACAAACTCAAGCTGTGTACTTGTGTGTACAGGAATAGTGAATAAACAGATTTTTGCAAGTTGCTGATGCCACGTAGTATGCATTTTTGTATGAAGCATTTCAGTGGTTCGTGGTCTGGAAACGTTTCTACTGAACTCTAAAGAATGGATGGACAAAAAATATAGAAAAATAAAAATAAAAAAGGGGAATAAAAAACTTGGATATATACCCCTATCAGGGGTGAAACAAAAACAGTGAGTGAAAGAGGGCCATGAGGGAGAACAAAAAAAGTTTCTCCATCTCAGGGTGTTAGGCCCAGGTTGGGGGGAGAGAAGGCTACTGGGTGCAAGGGGAGCCAATATAAATAGTAAAAAACAAAACAAAGAGCAACTTTTTAAGTATGACATTTGAAAGGACAAAAAGCACAAAACAATAAAAAATAAAATTAAATAAATATGAAATTATATAAAAAACAATTTTGATTGTATAAATTTAGAAAGTTTTAAGTAATTGAATCAATTTCTGAAATAAACCGTAGAGGCACATACCAAATAATCGTTGGTTCGCAAACTCAAAAGTCTGTCATAAAAAGGAGAAACAAGTCAAGATTCAAAGTAATCCCGATAAATCTCCGGACTGGAGCAGGACTCGATAATCTGTTTCAGAGATAAAGTTTTCTCAGAACCATACCATAAAAATCAATTAAGAGAAAAAAAAATCATTAAAATAAAAGTCTAAAAAAATAAATAAAATTCCTTTGTGAAGATAGGGAGAACATCTCAACTTGAATCGTTGAGCAATTTACGACCGTGAAAAAGGAAGACTGTAGCTCTATGAGCTGGGATCTCAGGAAGTGTCCAATTTGCTTCACTTGCTGGCCTGCATAGGAGTAGATGGCGAGAGTCTATGAGGTGAAACCTGACGTCTATTCATGGAATTGATGAGTTCCATTCCTTCCTCAGGCGACGTGATTATGAAATTCCGACCATCCATACGGAAAACGACTTTTACCGGGAATCCCCATCTATATCTTATCCCTCTTTGTTTTAGCTCCGCAGTGAAAAGTTGAAATTCCCTGCGTCGCCTCATTGTTTGAGCAGAGAAGTCTTGGAAGACCTTCATGCCGCTGTAATCTCCCGTGAGGCCTGACGTGCGTACTGCACCAAGAAATTCCTCTTTAATGTGGTAGTAGTGAAATCTCACTATCACATCTTTGGGTGCAGCCGCAGGTGCATTGCCGGGTTTGGGCAATCTATGGATGTGGTCCAGTAGTAAATCCGTATTTTTAGCGGTTGGTAGAGCTGATCCTTAGGTTATTACGCCTACTTCTATCCTCAGCGTCGGCTAATTTTTCCGCTTGTTGGTGCACTTGCTTTTGGAGCTCTTTACGGTTTCAACCAGATCCAGGTGAGATTGCTCTTGAGAGTGCAATCTATTCTCTATTATTTCCGTTTGCTGATTAATGCCCTCCATGGCTCCCTATAATGCGTCAAAGTCTTTTTTAAAGTCGTTTTTCAAATCAACTCTCAATTCTTTGATGAGTTGAATTATCATGCCAGTTGACGGTGGCAGATCTTCTGCCAATTCAGGTGGCATATTGGGATTGTAAGTTGCTGCTTTAAATGTGGTAGTAGCCATATTGGAGGTGGCAGTGGCCATCTTGGGAGCGGAATACACAATATCTGGACTGGCAGCCATCTTTGTTGTGGCATCATGACGTATTCTCTGTGGTAGTGCAGAATCAGAACTTGTTTGGAGCACTTCAGCTCCTAATTCCATATTATTATCCTCTGGGCATTCTATAGTCCTTACTGTGCCTTTAAATGTTTTGGGTCGGACAGCAGAGGCCCCCCGCCGAGACTGACAACCTGGAGGCTGAGGATCCCGACGGGGAGCGTGACCTCACACTGCCTTCCCCTATACTTGCAACCCGGTTGCTTTTGTAAGTGAGCGACCCGGCTGCTCTAGTGTGAGACCGCGAGCGGCTTGCTGGGTGGTCCTTGCCACTCACGGGAGACACAGCCCTGTGCTCCGAGCATGCTGAGTGCTCGGAGCACTCTGAGCCACAAACAGAAGTGCTGGCTAGTGCGGCCGTGGTCCCGCCGCCCTCAGGCAGCCACGAACGAGTCGCGGCCGCACAGGCATAAGACTTGGATTGGGAGACCAGGCGGGAGGTAGGGAGACCTGACGCCACCAACGATATTTTAAGCGGTGAAACAAGCCGCAAGCCGAATTTGGAAGCAGGGGAGTGAGCCTGGGAACCTTTACTCACCCCAGCAGCTCCTGCTTCCACTTTCTTCATTCCAGGTACGTTTTTTTATGACTTTTTTTGTTTCTGCATGTTAGATATTGGATTGGCTTTTTGGAGCATCAGTTAGAGTTGGTCCATTGAAATTAAAATTGGCACTTTTGGAACAAAATTGACCCCCTTGTCCAGGAGCCTCTCTAAAACGTGCCCATCTAAGATGGTGGCTTACAGCTTACAGCGCACTTGTAAAAATTCTTATTTTCTGGGTGCTTATCTGCTAAATAGTCTATTTTGGGCGGGCTCTTCATATCTGAGCATCAAATAGAAGGGTCTTATAATGCACTTACAGTGCATTTGTAAACATTCTAATTTTCTGGATGCTAATCTGCTAAATAGTACATTTTGGGGCGTGCACTTCATATCTGAGAGTCAAATCGAAGCGTCAAATACTGCGGTTACAGCGCAATTGTAAACATTCTTATTTTCTGTCTGCTAATCTGCTAAATAGTAC